AAAATTATTTAAAATATAATTAAATTACTTAAAAGTATATAAAAATTATTTAAAATATAATTAAATTACTTAAAAGTACTAAAAAAAAATACAGGTTTGCTCTCGAGCTTCATATGGTTCACGAGAGTCTAGACGGTAAAGTTGCTGTTGTTGGTATCTTGTACAAGATTGGACGACCTGATTCTTTTCTTTCATCGGTAATCTCTGTATATTATATCATAACTATATATATACTAGTTCATGCTGATATATATATATAGGTTATTATAATTAATTACTTTGTTTTTTTGAAAACTAAACATTAAAAAATTTATTATATTTATTAGTTGGAGAAAATTTTGGCCAAAATTACTGATACCAGTGAAGAAGAGAGAGTCGTGGGTATTACCGATCCGAGAGACATCAAAATTGGTAGTCGTCAATATTTCAGATATGTTGGTTCTCTTACTGTTCCTCCTTGTACTCAAAATGTCGTATGGACCATCGTCAGAAAGGTAATTAATTTTATTATTTACTTAAAATTTATTTAAATTGTACTATTATTGTGCGATATATCTATATATATCTATATATATATATATATACATGCATGTATGTATACATAATATACGTGATTAGAGTTACATAAATTTTCTCATCCTTGACCTCAATCATCGCAGGTGAGAACTGTGACAAAGAAACAAGTTAGATTGCTCCGTGTAGCAGTCCATGATGTAAGTAATCAATTTATATATATATATATATATATAGTTACATGTATAATTATATATGTTTTGTGAGGGAGATAAGCATTAAAAAAAATTGTAATGAAAATTTACAGGAGTCAGATACCAATGCAAGGCCACTACAGCCGATAAACGAGCGTTTCATTCACCTGTTTAAGCCGAAGAATGAGAAGATATAGAGAAGTAAAATAAATTCAAACCTTCAGTTTGTATTGTATGAGTCTCAATATAATATATGTAATACACTGCATTATAAGCAGCTGCCTAGGTTCGTCGAGAGGTCTATATGTATACACACGACCCACATGATTATTTATACCATACTGCAGGTATATATATATGTATAGAAACATATATAAACGATTCTAAATAATAATCTATGTAATTTTGTTGCTATATATATATATTTTTCCCCCTATTTATATCGACTTTTAAATACATTTTTTTATTATTAATTATACGACATATACACACTCAAAAGTAGTATAATTTTTCATTAAAAATATATAAAAATACGTAATTCAATTTGAAATTTTTATTGAATTGGACCAGACTCTAGCTCGGGTTTGACCAAATTATATAATAAGATAGCCCCTTCTTTTTCGTCCACCTACCCTACTATATATTTTGCCATTTATACCACATACTAATTATTATGTTAATTATTTACTAATTATATCGTATTGATTATTTAATAATTAAAAATTTTATATTTTATTTAAAAATTATAAATTTAAAATTAACTGAAAACGTAAAATTGTATTGTGAATTGACAATGATTAATTTATGATATTTGATTCAGTAAAACGGATGATTTAATTGAGTAACGTGTTGATAGAGTTATCAAAAACAAGTCGAGTTAACTTTCAACAAAATTATTATATTTTTTAAAAGAATAAATATATTATTATAGTTAAATTTTTTTAATTAGAATAATTACGACATATTAAAAATACAATTGTTATGTATATTTTTTTGGTAAAAAGTTATTTTAACATATTGTGTGGATTCAAATTTTGCTGCCGTAGTATTTATATCCTACTATACTAATTAACCCTAAAAACGTATAAATGTCTTATTATGAATTAATGCACATCAATTTCATATCATTCAATTTTAATTTAGGACCACCTTTTACCGGTCTTAATTTAATTAGACAAATAATGTTTTGATATAAAATATCGAAAATTCTCGAAATTTCGTCTCTAATTAGTCTTTAGTTCAGTTTAGTTTCAAACCGATGAGTATTCTAATTATAACTAGTAGCATCTTTTAAGTGATTATGACTTCAGTCTAATATAAATTGTGTATTTATATATAGAGGTTATATTTTTTCTTATAATGATGTTACATGTAGATAATATGATATTTATAGACATGATTCAGACTCTATACAAATATTATTTATATCATACCACATATATATATACACATACATCCACATAATAATCTATAACAAAACCAAAGATTTATTTATAAGTAAATAAATGATCAACACAAATAATTATATAGAACAGGCATAAGTTCAGGACAAGTTAGCATTTTTTTGAAATGATAACACAGAGTTCTACATATATTATTTATGTATAATAGTTTTGCTTATATATACATATATATATGTATATATTAACCGCTGCCATTTTCACCGTCATCTTTTTCACCACCACTTCCACTGCCTCCACCGTAGTAGTTGTTAAAGTCTTGCCTTGGAATGTAATGGTGGTTATTTACTGCACTGCTTCCATGATTAACTTGGTTGTCATCGTCTGATAATGTCTTCCTCTCTGCAGCCAAACCAGAATTCGCCATGATCATCATGATCATGATCAAAGAAACTACTAGAAGCTGCATTATTTTCATCATCCCCATTGATCAATTCGCTGCTCTCTGACAAACCCAGAAAAAGAAATTAGAAAACTAACATGCATCAGTTTTCAATATATATCCAACACATAGCTATATATATATATATATTTGAAACCATTATGAACTTACTAGATGTATACATACTAATAAGTGATATATATGTAAAATCAACTTACCTGACTGCGTAGCTAAGATTAAAAAAAGTTGCTTGGTGAATTTATGGAGCAAATAGATTACAGAGGGGAGCCATATATATACATACATACATACATACATAAACACAAACAGGGAGATCAAGCAAAATGAGGCAAGAATAAGTGGGATGTGGACAGAGCATGTGTGATTCAAATGGGGTATGTATTATTATCATTACGATAACATTAAAATGATGGAGTTGGAGAAAAATAGATTCCAATATAATTAATTAAGTAATTAATTTACAGCATGCACTACAAACAGGAAAAATCCACATTAATGGAGTCAATAATCAACCCCATGGATTATTATTTGTATTGCTTTCTGATGTAAGTTTGTCTACTTCAGAATACTCAGCACATATATATGTATCTCATTCAAATTTCCTCATAAATCAAGTAAGTATATATATATATATATATAAGTTTGTATATGTATACGATCCATTACTTTTTTTTTTAGGTTCGAAATGATCTGATGTGGATAATTAATATACATATATATATTTGTAAAATTTTAGATATAAACAAGGTGTGTATCTATTCGAGCATATAATTAAATTGAATTTTTGCAAGTAGGGTTTCTGATGTAAGTTTGTCTACGTGCATGTTCACGGACGTGTCTAGATCATATTCAAATTGTTATACCTTTCATATAAATCATAATTTACCTGAGAAAGAATTTCACTACCTTAGGAGTAATATGAATTAATCCTCAAAATTTACCTTTTATTAATTATTTTAAAAATTAAGCAGAAAAAAAAAAGAAAAGAAACAAATAGATTCAACTATATTATTACGTCATCCCACTTGTATCGGACGCTGGTCACTTGACCATCAAGTAATTGCAAGAAAAAAAAATTGATTAGATGCTTGTCACGTCACACTTGAGTATGATGTGAAATGGATTCTGGCCCACTATCCTGCTGGGGCCCACAAGTTGTTCCATTGGGCCCTGTATGGCCCACTTAACAAGACCCAATCTTGACTTTCTATAAAAAGTGAATTTAAATTTGAAATTTATTAAATATATATTTTTTAATCAAAAAGAAAATTTTTAATGTACCGTAAATAATCAAGGTGAGTATTTAATATTAATATTATACACATATAACATATATATATATATATATATATATATAAATTCAAGGGGTCGACGTTCACATGGAGCCATAAATGAGTTTTACATGTCATTTATTACGCATGCTAATTTTTGATGATGTTAATTTTTTAAAAAATTCATTTGCACATTTTAAAAAATTAAATGTTAATTTAAAATAAAATAAGAATACATACATATATATATATATATATATATAACCTCTAAATTCTTGGAGAGAAAATTCGTCTCAAAGTAGAATTAGACTATAAAGTCAAAATTCATGAATTAATTAATAGTGGAAGCACAAGCCAAATTCAATTAAAGGGTTTGACGGGTACTATAAATTTGGAAATTAGGGAGGCTAATATACCGTTTTAGACGGTTAATTTGGTTTAGCTTATATTTAATTAACATATATTTAGTTTGTATTCAACAACGTGCATGCAAAATATGCTTATATATACATATATGTATATATATAGGATCTTAATTTCAATATGGAACAAAACAAAATACATATACTAATACAAAGAATAATGTTGCTTAGCAAAATATCTTTGACAAGAAAAAGAAAAAAAGACTTTGAATTTTTAATTTATTTTTTTTCCACCTAGACCATACTTCAATTTTCTTTTTACATGTGTGTGTATATATATATATATATATATATATATATATATATATGATGTGTATGTATATTTGTGTGTTTGTCAAGGAAATATGATATTAAATTAATTTTTTTGAGTCAAACAAAATTGTTATTGTGCGATAATTAATTAATAAAAAATATATATTTATATTTATATTCAATTTATTTTGCAATTATAGATAACAATTCAATATTCAATACATAATAGTTATATCTTTTAGGTTGATTTTTTTTTGTTATTTTATATAAAATTTTTAATTTTATCGAGAATATATATTTTTCAATAGATAAGAATTAGTTTTTATATTTAATAAATTCAAAAGTTTCTATATGATAAAAGAAAAGGGAGAAAGGCATCATAATGAGACGAGATCCCAATCTTAAAGCAAAAAAAAAAAAAACAAAAGTGATATCGATTGTAACGATTCGAGAATAATGGTTTGAACAGTTCAGATCTCACGTCTCTTTAAACGGTTGATATCTAATCATTTCTTAATATATAAATAAATGTTCTTTACATATTAAGGAATGATTAAATCTCAACCGTTCAAAGATATCTGAGATTTAAACCGTTCAAACTATTATTCTTAAATTGTTACATCGTTATATGCTAAAAACGAACATTAATATGAAAAACTTATTGAATGATAATTTTTAATTTCAGATAAACCCTAGAACTAAAACAGGCAATCTTAAGCCAAATCCCATATTACAAGAATAAAAAAGCAATAGTTTAGAAAGCCAAAAAAATAGAGATAGGTGTAGAGATTCAATGGAAGCTGTTCTAATAAATGCATATATATATATATATATTAAAAAATGCTAAATAAAAATATGTAAATGTTTAAGTTTAACTGAAAAAAATAATAATAAAAGCATCAAAATCTACTAATTTTATATAAAATAACGAAAATCAAACCGTAAATTATTAGATTGTTACATAAAAAACTATGTGAACAAAATCATAATCAAAATAAACTATATAAATAAATTTGTGATATTTCATGTCATTAATATTCAATAAAACATTACATTAATTCCCAACCATACTTTAAAATTAAATATTCAATACGTTATTTATACATTAATATGTCGAGCACAAGTTTATCAATGTAAAATTCGAAAAAAATAACTTCAATTTAGAGAATATTACACTAAGAAAATTAGTTTTGAACATAATTTTTTTAAAAAACCCAATAATTTTGGAGTAATTGAATTAGATTTTGAATGGTTTATTTCACAAATCTGAATGCAAATTGTCACTTTTTTCTTTAGAACACGAAGACCATGAAAATTTGACTATATGAACAAAATATATCTTTTAGTTATTTCCTGGTGGTCTTGGTCAAGAAATTACTTCAAGTCCTCAACAAATTTTTCTTTTTCTGCAGGAATTCATATTATAAGATTATAAAATCAATATAATCATATATATATGTATATTCGTCGTATAGAATTATTCATATTCGCCATCTTTTTCAAAATATATACTGGGAGAATATACATACATGTATACATGCATGAACCTATACTTCAAAATCAAAGCAAGCATGAAAGGGGGTTAATTGGGCACACACAAGCAAAAAGAACATAACAGTGGGATTTACATATATGCATATTTAAGCATGACGAATTTATGTCATATAATATAATATATATGATTATCAAGAAAACTAACATATATATATATATATATGATCAATTAATATTTAGAGATTACCTAATAATTCTAAATCATAGGGTTTTTTAAGATATGGGTAAATAAATATAAATTTATAAGTTAGTTTTATTGTATTAAATTTATTAGATTTTAATTTCGTCACAAAATAAAAGTAAGAATTAAAGTTTTAAATATATGAATAAAATTTTAGTTTAAATTAATTTAATATTCAATTTAAAAAAAAATATTTGTGTGACTCATTTATTAGAATACAACAAAAATATAAATTTATATTCATAAAAGTAAAATTGATTTAATTATACACTATATATATATAATTAAATGTTTAAGTAAATAAAATACATAATATTTTCGTAATAAATGAAAAATCTGATTGGAAAATACCTTATATGATTAATATAATATAATTATAAAAATAAATAAATAACATTCTCCATATCTTCTTGACCTTCTTCCGTCAATAAATTGGACCTTCTATTTCTAGAACCAAGATAATCTTAAGTATTGTCACCATTATCAAATCCGACGGTCCGCATTGAATTAATCAACCAGATCTACAGAGGCAGTTTACTTTGACTTTTGGCCTCGGCTGCTGTACGTCGTACGTTAATTATTTTATTATTTAAATCGGACGGTCTAGTAAAAATTAATTGTTATATTTTTTGAAGGAAAAAATTAAGAAAATATGTAATTCATACCATTCTGTTTTACAACTTTACTTTTTTTTTTTTAATTAAAAATCAAAATCGGTCATTTTTTGTTATATTAAAAAAATCGACCATGTTGAATAAAAAATAAGATGTGATATATCCTATTATTTGGTCTATCTTTTTTTTTTTTAATTTCTTATTTCAAATGGACTTATAACATTCTCCTATCAATAAAAAAATTATATATATATATATATACATATATATTACTTCAATAATAATAATACATTTGAATTAACGACCCGCTGATATATGCTAGATTAAAAAATTCAAAAAGAAATTGTATATCTGTCTTAGCCTATTGAATTATAAGTTTCTTAAGTTCAAATATGTATTTTTTTAATTAGAGACTAAAAATCTTGAGACCAATGTGGGTTCCATTAAAGAGTCTTATATTTAGGTAAATATCTAATGTATTTCTTTAGAGAAAGAATTTTTTTTTAGAGGAGAAACCATGCGTTTATGGGATCTACACGCACGTTGGTTAGAATATTTGAGAGACCTTAATAATTTAAACTTGAATAGATTAAAAAATGAGGTACAACATTAATAAGAACATCATTCTGCAGAATATATGACTCGTGTTTTTTAAGATTCTTTAAATTTTGTTGTAACGGCTCGTGAATTTGAAAGGAAGTAAATTATAAATTAAGTGCGAAAACGAAATAATAGTGTTACGATTTACATTCCTTACACAATAATTCAGGATACCAAATAGAGATACGAGAATGACCATTCTAAAAGAACAACTAATAATCAAATAAATAAATAAAAAATAAACAAACTAAACGTTCTACTCGCAACTCTCTTGTGGATCAGGTTATGGATCTTGGTCATCTTGATCTAAAATGGTTAATTGAAAGAATGAGATACATTAGCCCAGTAAGAATATCACGCTACTCACCGATTACAGAAATGAAGGTTGATAGAAATCATAAAAACAATTAATGGAGCTCTTAATTTAAGTAAAATTCGCTCATCATAAACAAAATCATTTATCGCATGCTTACCGTAGCAAGATTTTCAAAATCGACCTATAAAGTCAATAACATAACAATATCATAATTTCATAATAAATCAGTCGGAATAACAATTTTCTCATTATCAGCCTACTGATATCCATTCGGGTGCATATGGATGTCTCCACTATGTGTGAATTATTTTTCAATATTTTCAACTAACGGGCCGTCCTCATGTCTCGTCCGGTATGAATGTCAAGAAATACCATCCCTCAATACCCTGTTCGGTATGAGGGTGAAACAGATTGTCCCCATACCTCGTCTGGTATGAGCGCCAAATTACCAATTCTCGATACCCCGTCCGGTATAAAATAACGTTCATGGTAGGGTTCCATATGTACCCGATCCGTCCACCATCTCCCAAGATATCTAGTAAGGCTATCATTCATTCTTTCACTTAATCAAATAACCTCTCGTTTACCTTTAATTTTTAGTTTCCTAATTTTAACTGTAAATATCGTAAAACATGCAATACATGCATCAAGAAAACACAATTGAGTTATCATACCAATTTCAGTGTATTATTATGCATTCAAACTTTAAAATCAATCAATCAGTTAAACATGACAAACAGTAATAAATAACAGGTTCTGAAATTATTAGTAACATGTAATTAATTATAGATATTTTCTAATTTGTACAAAAAATCACATTATTTATAATTAAACTTTAATTTCATAACAAGAAATAGGGTGAGTGATTCTTACTCAAATTGATATCCGAAATGCTAAATTTTCAGCTGCGCTTATTAGCAGTTCCTGAATTTTTTGAATTTTTCTTCGGGGATTAAAATACGCTTCAAGTACCTAGAAATACCTCAAAAAATCTAAAATCAATATTATAAACCATTTTTGGCCAATTCTAAAATTCTAGCACGCTGGCTCCGCTGTGCTCTGGCGACGGTTTGCCTAAGG